AACTCTCAACTCTGCCGAGGTGATTTATATTCTTTTAAAATGGAAAATGCACTGTTGATACTTCGTAATTTTGAGCGGGGTCTTCATTTATTCATTTATATTTTTACCATAAAAATAAAACCTGCAGCTGTCACGACCCTTTCAAACGGACAAAATATACATAATACTGTATAGGTGGATTAAGTTCTTTGAAACTTTTCCGAATATTGTAGCGCAGGTTTCTTCGAGAATTTTTGAAAATAAGCAAGTGAAATATGTTCCGTAATTTTGGCCATCCATTCTTTGCAGTTCTACGAGCTGTACTTGGCAGATTATTCCATGCACATGCTAGACAATGTGTTCACTTCTCACTGGGAGTTCCAGGAGGAGAAAAACAGGCCGCACTGGAGGAAAAAGCAGAGGATCCAGTCACTAAAGTCAGCGTTGCACTTCGCTGAGGAGATCAAGCTCAAGTATGGCAAGGATCCCTTGAACCTGGTGGGGATCCTGTCCAAGTCGGTCAGACACTATCAAAGCATGCTTCACACCAAATTCTGACGCATTTTTCAAGTGCTCATGAAACAAAAAAAGAGAAAAATCTCCCGGAATCGTGGATTACATATGTACCATATTCAATCCAGTACATTTCACTAAAAAAATATATCAAAAAGTGGAGTGCGCGTCAAACTGGAGCATACATTTCTTTCTGCAATTTTTTAAAATTTCGGTACGCTTGGTACTTCAAGCACATTCTACAAAGTTTAAAAGGATTATTTTACAGACTAGAATGAGTAAAATATACAAATTGATGATCAAATCAAAAAAGCATATGAAAGCATAAAATAAAACAAATTCAGCACAATTTAATTCGAATTTAATTCTTCTGAATTTTGACTCCGAAGAGTTTGGCCAGTTTTCCCGCTGACATGACGAAGATTAAAATTTCAACGTCAGCTATATTATTCACAATCACCAAATATCTTTTAAAAATATAAATGAGGTTTTATGTCGGTTGAACCACCCATATTCTTACCATATTTCGTCTAGAAGAGAATTGATTCAGTTCTCTCTTTTTTTCAGAAGGGTTTGCTTTTGATGAAGAATTTAAAATTTTTAGTATAAAAATGCTTAAACCAAGTGAAATAATGTATAATTTATCATTGCTCACATGTATATTCCACAAATTTTATTATTTCTTTATTTGGCGTCCTGACGAAGATCTTGGTGTACTTGGTCCAGATTAGCACTTGAGACATGGTTTGTGTTTGATGCCTGGGAAACACACCGGGCAACTGGATGACATGGTAGCCAAAAGCATTGCAGTAGTGGTCTCATCTGACATGAAGAATTTGATGGGCATTCAGTTTCTTCACACGTGGTCCAATCTGCAAGAAAACTAAGCTATTTTGAATAATAGAAAATAAGCTTTTGAGGACCACACTTCCAAGAGAAAATCAAGTGAAATGCCAAAAGATGATATTTGTGCAAGGTATATGTGATTTGACTGATGTTCTCCATGTTTTTCTTTGGGAATTCCGAAGCACTACTGAGAGTAGTTTCTGAAAATTAAAGCCATTGAATAATATGTTATCAAAGGAAATTTTAAAGTTATATAGGCATTTTTATACTCCAGGAATGAGTCATATTCGATTTTTAAAGAATTTCTTGCTTAAATGAGTAGTCAAACGAGTCATTTTTGTGCTTGTCTTTGAAATTAAAAGAAGCAAATACATTTTTTGCTATTTTAAAATGAAATGTACCTTCTGGAACGCAAGTGAAATAATTTTCACACTTGATGTCACCAGGACAGTTTTCAGTCACAGCCACACACTTCTCTGATTCAGAACAAGATGATTCACATTCTGAATCCCCAAATTTGTTTAAAATGTCCAGGTCTTGCATTTCCATGTCCCCTGAACCTTTTTGACACATCTCCTTGCACTTCCCATTCTGGCAACACTGCCATGCATGAGGGCACTTTGTGGTATCACATAAGGGCACTTGGATAACAATTCCATCTTCCATCTTTGAATTTATTTAGAAACAAATGTCAATTTCAATATTATCAATGATTTTTTTCTGACACTAATCCAGAAATGAGTCTCTCTCAAAAAGCTGAGAAGGCCTTATTTGCTCTTGTGTCAAAGCTGAATATTCGGAATAACTTTGAGCTAGATTTTTTAAATCTCTTTCTAACCTGTTCACATTCATAAGAGAAAGTTATTTTGTTAGTTTTCTGAGATGGGTTTTAATAATCCTGCTCAAAATACTGTTCAACCTCAAAACAGTCAATGCAGAAGTTTTAATCTTATTTCCTGAAATTAAAAATATCTTCCATTCTGGAAATAGTTTGCTCAAGTCCAAAATTTTTCAAAAATAATAATCCAGCACTTATTTCATTAAAAATGATTACAGTAATGTATTAAAAATTTAATGAGAGCGAATATGAAGGAAAATATTTAAAAAAAAATAAGTGATGGTATATCAAGAGAAAAAATATGGGCTTGCATATAACTCAGCAGGTGAGACCATATATAGCAATTATTTTGCCTGAAATCTCCAATTGTTTTACAGAAGAAATTCATAAATATTTAATCGGTCGCAAGTCTGAGGTGCAGCGCTTATTAAACCAGAAAATTTCGTTCTATGAAGGAAAGCTAGAATGATAAATGCACCAGATGTCGCTCCTTACTCCACATTACACACATGAATACGCAGTACTGTATACCAATTCAATAGTAGGCTTTAATTCATACGCTCCTGAGAATATTTGCTATTCTGCATAATAATTGGGATTTGTGTAGACGCTATCAGAAAATGAAAGCATGAACAGTTCTGTTTTCTTACCCGCTTTGCTCCTCTGCTGAAAATGATCATGATTGACACGGATAAAATGACTATTACCAACATTTTCGCTCTATGTAAAACAACCATTTGGAACAAGGCATTTCGTTTTGGGTACAACACAGGCTTAGACCACTGTCTTTTGAACGCCCGGTACATTTTTTTTTGTTCAAGTTCAACGAAGTCTATGATTCCAACGTGCTGCTGCTGATGAAGCACGGACTAAAAAATTTTGCTGGAAAATCAGAACACATGCGATACCCGACATATATGTGCATCTGTTCTAACATGGGACCCATCATATTCGTGATGGTCCTTTCTAAGCAACCGTGTGTTTTTGCCATGACAACATATCAGTCGATTCAGGCGTTTTTTGCTTGTTTGTCATTTGCGATATCGCGTGCTCCGTTTTGGGAAAATAAACTTATCAGAGAAGCGCTCATAAAGATATTAATCATCTCATTAATTTTTCATTTTTTCCTTATACAGTAGATGCGATCGCCGTATAGGTTTGACGATTGCGGTTCCGTGTTATGGTCCGTGTTATACTGACTGGGAATTATTTTTCGAAAGATTGCAGTGCTTTTTTTGTGCTGAAAAATAATATTAATGTGAAGTAGATGCAGAAGAATTCGGAAGATCTGCGCTTTGATTAATCCTTTCAAAATGTTGTGAGAGGCGAATCAAAGGCCTGGGTAATTTTAGCTTGCGTTAAAGTAGCATTTTTCTCGTCAAAATCAACTATACATGGAATTTCATGGGAGGATCACGGAAAATGAATTTAATAGTGTCAATGTTTAAGTGTGGTAATAAGCAGCAGAAAAAAATAAAAATGAAACTTCGGAGAAATTCTTCAAGAAAATGTATGCTGTATATATAGACGTACAGATAAAATATCTTCCAAGATTCAACAAGACAAAAAATGAAGAGTTTTTCTGTCGACCAGCAGAAGGCATTTTCAATCTAAAACCTTACTTTTTCTTTGTAGCATTTTGCGTTAAAAAATTGAACTTGTCTTTCGTCAATAAATAATAAATCAGGCAGAGATTCTTTCATTGCTGCGAATTATCACGCACCCGTTTTTTCGTGGATTTTTATGCCAGGAATTTTTTGAAAATTCAAGTTAATTTATTCTCAAATTCAGGGTAAGATGAATTTTGCAATTTATTGGCCTTGGTTTTGCATATTCAACAGAATTTATTGAAGGCTGATTTTCAGTAAAATCTCGATACAATAATGAAGCTGCGTATTTCGAGACAATAAAATTATATGTAATCCTAAACAATTTCAAAAAAATCAAATAACATTCAGTCTATACTTACGAGGATAAACTAAAAAATTGCTGTGAGCAATAATTCATAGATCTGTCATAAGATTATGTTGTACAAAAGTATCATTCAAAATCTAGATTTAACCCAATGCAATCAATCTTTCATGTTTGATCTGAGTCTGAGCAGTTTAGCATGCAGCGCTTTCTAAATTGTTAAACTTCAGCTAATCTGATTCGTCTAAGACGTGCATACAAAATTTTGAAAAATTGTCAGCTTCACATACAATCAACGACACGTGCTAAAAGTTTTTGGTCCAGACTTCTACATGATGAAGGGAGAGTAAGATGCGCATTGTGTTTATTACAGTTGAACCTCTGTCAAATTTTTTGAGAACATGAAAAAAAATTGACCTAGGGAGGTTTTGATTTTTGGAGGTTTTGAGTTAGGAAAACAAGCAATTCTGCTGAGAGGACAAGTAAAAAAATAGCATGAAATTGTAAATTAGGAAATTCTGGGCCTAAACTTGCTTGTTAATGAGTTTACAGCTTGATGAACTTGGATGCAGGGGTTCATTTGCCGTATTAGTCTTTCACTTCCTCTCAAGATGGATAAAATCATTTGTTTCCTTGATTTTCTCTTTCATTTCTCAAGGAAATAGTGTCCCAGAAAACCAACTGGCCCCAGAAAATCCAACTTACTTATAGGTTTGGGAAAAAAGACTTAAACTTAGTCAGGTTTCCAATGCATTGTTTCCAAGGGAATTCAGACCAGGACTAGAAAACAAATTCAAGTTAGGGAGACATTTGACTTGGGGAAGTCCAACTTTCAGAGGTTCCACTGTAGTAAAATCAGCATATTCTTTGAGCTAATTACTGTATATGCAAATGAATTACTGATGCATGCTGGTTATTTCTTGAATGGAAAAATACAGTACTGCATTGATTCCACAACAGAAAAAAGCTGGTAATGAAATAAAAAAATAAAGGGGGAAAAAAACAAAACGGGTTAAAAAATATCGCAGGCGACGGCCTAAGGGTCGGGTTTTCTTCGCCATTTGCAAAATGCAGCAGCCAGCATGCAATAAGTATATCTCTATTTGTCCTTGTAGCGCACGTCCACAGCGAATTCGCAGGGATCCTCTCCGCAAGGATACTTGATGGTGTCGTCGAAGGACTCGTTTTCGGAGTCCGTTGGGATGCAAGGACAGCACTTGTCCAGTGGCGGCGTGTCGTAAGAGGACGGCGTGGACGGAGGCTTGGGCGGCGGCGGCTTCTTGGGCGGCGGTGGCGGCGGCGGCGGGGGCTTCGGCTTGGGAGACGGCGGTGGCTTCTTGGGTGGCGGCTCCGGGATGATGGGCGTCGGCGGGGACGGCGGAGGTGTCGGCTCCGGGGTTGGTTCTTTGATTATTTCTTCTTCTATGATTTCTTCTTCGCAAACGCTGAATTATTTTGAGGACGAAGGAAAGGGACAATAGTTATTTGAACGCTTAATATGGGAGTTAGATTTTTCTTTTCTAAAACTTTAAAAATATATTCAGTTCTTGCCTGGAATGTCTATAAAAAATCTAAAAAGACTTAGCTTTTTTGAAAAAAAAAAACTGATATCACGTGTATTGGAAATTCGTGCATTCCGGTAGATTCTGTTGGGTGTTCAAAAATATTTTCGAAAATGATCCCAAAAAATCACAAAACTGAAAATGCTTTTTAAAAGCAGCCTCAGGTGCTGGGTTTTAAGATCCTTCAAAAAATAATTTAAGATCCTTCAAATGAAACTGTTCAGACTAAAAAACTCTGCAGAAGTTTTAATCTTTCTGAATTACATTTATCTTCCATTCTTGAAAAAAATGCAATATCAGCTTCAAAATTAAGCCGAAATAATGACCCAGTAATTATTTTTCTCATGATTATACTCCAAATGCAAATATAATTTACCTCGTATATTATGTACCAATCAGCATAAATGGCTCAAGTAATGAAATTTTCAATATTTTTTAGATATACTCCCAGCAAATAATTCACCCATATGATTACCCATATATTGAACCCATAGCACATGGGTAACAGNTATTTTTCTCATGATTATACTCCAAATGCAAATATAATTTACCTCGTATATTATGTACCAATCAGCATAAATGGCTCAAGTAATGAAATTTTCAATATTTTTTAGATATACTCCCAGCAAATAATTCCCCCATATGGTTACCCATATATTGAACCCATAGCATATGGGTAACAGTCACCCATATTGAGGTACAGACACTGGTGTTGGTGACACCCATAAAATCATTTTTCAACCATTTAAAAAATTGAAATTGCTTCAAAGGAAAAGAGCTACAATGAGATAAAGTTATAAACTAATGGTGAAGTATGGCATATCAGACTTCTTTCAACAAAAGTATCCAATGAATTTATATGCATTTACGTAAATTATGGCATTCTTACACGTAATTTAGGGATACAGAATATATATAGAGAATTCACACTATGCGTAACTTGAAATTTATTCATAAAAATCATTCGTTAAGAGCAAACTGTAATGAAAAAAAATTTCTGGAGAAAAACTCACTATTCCTCGCAAACGAGTCCAAAGAAGTCCTTGAACTTATCCCATAGCATCATGAGGTAGTCCCACAAGTTCATTTTGGAGAACCATGACAAGATCTTGAAAATCAGGATAGGTGACAGCAGGATCAGGATGAACAGCAGGAACATTTTTCGATTTTCACTGCAACAGAAAACATTAAAACTCTTTGAAAACAGCTGCTCAAAAATGTTTTCCATTAAACAGTTTCTTGGGCGCCCTTATTTGAAAAAGAAAACGATGACTTTAATAAAATACTCGAATATTAAGACAGAAAATAATTGACTAATCTTGTTTCGGAAGAGTTTAAAAATATGTATTTATTATTTATTTTTTAAGCTTACTCACGGAGTCACGGGCGAAGCAATATAATCGATTGCCCTTTAAACTTAAATTCTGTTTAAAAATTGAAAGCTATAATGAGCGGCGCCCTTTTCACCATTAATATTTTTGATCAGTGTTCAAGGTCGTCTTAAAAAAAGTTCTTGTTCGACTTATGATCCACTGTGCAGCAAGTTATGTGTCAACTGGCGACGTACGAGGGGTCCAATGAAAGTTTTCGGAATAAAAATTGAAATAGCTTATAGGATTGCGCTGAAAAATTTTTTTTTTTCAGAAAAAAACGTTTTCTGGCACACAGAAAATGAAGCCCTCTTCGAAATATATTGCGAAAATTTATCGAAAAATCTGCCTCATCTTTTCAGTGAAGAGTGTTACTTTTGCGAGAATTTTCCGCAAAATGTGTTGAACAGGGCTGAAATTTTCTTCTTATGCCAAATAATGTTTTCCTGAACAGTAAATTTTTACAACCATGTATTTTCTGTGAAACTATAAAAACGTACAAGGGGTCAAATAGAATTCCGCTGAAAAACAATTTGTACAGAAAAAAAATGTTTGACGCAAGAAAAAACACAGCCCTGTTCGACATATTTTTCGGGAATTTGCAAAAAAAAATCTGCGACATGGACGCCTCATATTATTTCCATTCAAGACTCTCAGGAGTATAAAGCTGCTAAGGTGACTTTTGCAAAAATGTTTCAACAAAATACTGTACGTCAAACAGGGCTGATTTTCTTAAGCCAGAAAATAATAAAAATAATATTTCTTAAGCGAAATTTAAAATTTTTTTTATTCAAGAAATTTTATTTGACCCCTCGTATGTCAACCTTCTCATCGGAAATAAATTTTGCTGTGGTGTTTATCTGAAATGGGAAACGCAAAAGGACGCTTGGATCAAGTACAGGGGGCTCCCCTTTTTTTTTATACAGTACTTGGCAACGTATTGCTCGATGGTCATGTTGTAGGTGAAGTTGAGAGGATGGGGGCGGTCGTCCGTGGCGGGTTTGCCGCCTCGCAAATTCTGGTAGGCCCAACGGTGGGCGCCAACTTTGGAGCCGGCGTGCTCTTTCTCCATAAACTTGCGCAGACTCTGCTCCTTCACCGGCTCTTTGCCCTTCATGTTCATCCTGGAAACATTGAAGGGTGAGACGTCATTCTTGCTTCCTCAAATTATTTTCAACATCTTTCACACCCGAAATTTGATAACAATTATTGGCTTTGAAAATTGATAACCTGTTTTAAATTCAACAAAATTTCTGGATCGAAGAAATGACAACTGGATTATAATAAAGCTAGAAATACCAGAGTGGTTACATCACTTTACGATATTTTCTTCGTTTGACTATTTTCGACCCTTTTATTTTTCTTCCAAAAGAACTTGAATCAAGTGGGGAAAGTTATAGAGGGCTGCAATTTCGTGAAAGTGAATCGGCGTTTTATTTTCCAAACCTTTTGTTAAATGAAGCAAAATTTTTTTAAAGTTGAAACTATTTCTTCAAAATGTTCCAGGAGTCACTTACAAAAAGACGGTGACATAAACCTTAAAACTGTATTTCTGTTAGTTTTCTGAGACCGGGCTGAATTGAGAAAAATAGGCAAAATATGTTTTCTCTAATTTTCCTGAACCTTGGGTTAAATTCTGAAATTTTAGCTCGAAACCGGTTGTATTTTTTTTTCAAGTATTTTTGGCCGATTTTGTTTTATGAAACACTTCTTATGCCAAATAATGTTTTCCTGAACAGTAAATTTTTACAACCATGTATTTTCTGTGAAACTATAAAAACGTACAAGGGGTCAAATAGAATTCCGCTGAAAAACAATTTGTACAGAAAAAAAAATGTTTGACGCAAGAAAAAACACAGCCCTGTTCGACATATTTTTCGGGAATTTGCCAAAAAAAAATCTGCGACATGGACGCCTCATATTATTTCCATTTATTCAAGACTCTCAGGAGTATAAAGCTGCTAAGGTGACTTTTGCAAAAATGTTTCAACAAAATACTGTACGTCAAACAGGGCTGATTTTCTTAAGCCAGAAAATAATACAAATAATATTTCTTAAGCGAAATTTAAAATTTTTTTATTCAAGAAATTTTATTTGACCCCTCGTATGTCAACCTTCTCATCGGAAATAAATTTTGCTGTGGTGTTTATCTGAAATGGGAAACGCAAAAGGACGCTTGGATCAAGTACAGGGGGTTCCCCTTTTCTTTTATACAGTACTTGGCAACGTATTGCTCGATGGTCATGTTGTAGGTGAAGTTGAGAGGATGGGGGCGGTCGTCTGTGGCGGGTTTGCCGCCTCGCAAATTCTGGTAGGCCCAACGGTGGGCGCCAACTTTGGAGCCGGCGTGCTCTTTCTCCATAAACTTGCGCAGACTCTGCTCCTTCACCGGCTCTTTGCCCTTCATGTTCATCCTGGAAAAATTGAAGGGTGAGACGTCATTCTCAAATTATTTTCGACATCTTTCAAACCCGTAATTTGATAAAAATTAGTGGCCCTAAAAATTTAGAACCTGTCATAAATTCAACTAAATTTCTGGAACGAAGAAACGACAACTGGATTATAATAAAGCTAAAAATTCCAGAGTATGGTTATATCACTTAACGATATTTTTTTCGTTTGACTATTTTCGACCCTTTTATTTTTCTTCCAAAAGAACTTGAATCAAGTGGGGGAAGTTATAGAGGGCTGCAATTTCGTGAAAGTGAATCGGCGTTTTATTTTCCAAACCTTTTGTTAAATGAAGCAAAATTTTTTTAAAGTTGAAACTTTTTCTTCAAAATGTTCCAGGAGTCACTTACAAAAAGACGGTGAGATAAACCTTAAAACTGTATTTCTGTTAGTTTTCTGAGACCAATTTTTGAGAAAAATAGGCAAAATATGTTTTCTCTAATTTTCCTGAACCTTGGGTTAAATTCTGAAATTTTAGCTCGAAACCGGTTGTATTTTTTTTTCAAGTATTTTTGGCCGATTTTGTTTTATGAAACCATTTTTTATGTCTTATATGTGATGTCAGTCACTTTCTCTGCCCCATAAAAAAGTTCTTAACGCTACATTCTCATGGGCCTTTTGAAACCATTTAGTTTTATTTTTGTCACTTTATCTGCCCTATACAAAAGGTATCAATGCTACATTTTTGTTTTATTGGTCTTTTGAAGCCATTTTGTCATGTGAGTCATATTCTCTGCCCTAATAAACTTCTTCATTCTATATTTTTGTTGTGTATAGATCTATTAATTTTAAAGGAAGAAACCCACTGATGTATGCTGAAAACTTTTCTTTTTAAAATCTTACCTGAAGTCATTATCCATGGGTGCATTGTTGGATGACTGATGCACATGCATGTGGGCAACCTCATCTGCAACAATGCCCTGCTTCATGAGGGCATGTATGGCATTTTCAATGAGCCTGTCATGTTCCAAATAGTCTTCCTGTCTTGGCAACAGGTGGTTGGACAATCCATGGAGGTATATTATGTGGTCACGGTCATTGTGGAAAGGCTTTGGTGGCTTCAACATATCCTGCCTTAGATCCTAAATTAAAATAAAAGTTAAAGCTGTCAGAATAAACTTGAAAGATGACTTTCAAGAAAAAAGTATCGAAAATACAAAAATAACCTTTATTTGACCCAATTTTGGACTCAACTGGGATCCTGTGTTACATTATGTATAAGTGCCTTACATTTTTGATTTTGTAGATGAAAAAACAAATCAAGTGTCATCCAAACTTAAAATAAATTTATAACAAAAACCCTGATTTGAAATGAAAGGAAACTTCAATATTAAATGAAAAAGCAAATTTTAAGATGGGTAATGAGGAATTGAAGATCTTCCTTGATGACACAATTTATCAAAGTCTAACCACAAATGGCGAAACAGGAGGCTGTTCATCAACCACATCATCCGATTCTGTTATGATATCCTGGTCTGCTTCACTGATTTCCCTGGCAGCAGCAGCCAAAAATGGCGACCTTCTCTTCCTGCTCAGCCATGGTTCTGCATTGAAAATGATGAACATTCATTCTAGAATCAACAACACTTTTCTGGAATGAAAAAATATTTTTTTAAAAACCTGCAGCTGGAAGAGCTGTCAGCCCCTGGCAGAGTGCCAAAATGGCTAAAATTGCAAGAAGATTCATGTCCTCACTTGCCCATAATTTGGCTTCTTTGAAAGGGATTAACTGGGAAAGAATTTCAAGGATTCCTTAAAATAAGGAAGTAAAAAAAAGTTTTTTGTCCTTTCTGTGACAACCTCATATGTAAATAAATGTCTGGATAGGCTTTCCCAAACTTGCTCTGATGAAGGTTCACTACCTCAACCAACTTAGTTGGTTGAATAAAAACTTTACCACATGTTAGATCTGTATAGCTTCCAAGATATGTGAGCAGCTATGAAGGTTGCTATACCAGCCTGAGTTATGTTTCTGATGAAATAGGGGAAGAAAACTAATGGGGATCTCTTTTGGGGGAACCTAAATTGCACCCAAGCGCCGAAATTCCCTTACTCCCTCAGCCCATGATTCATCAGCAGTCATGTTAATCCCAAGGATGATGAAATCCCTTGCAGGCTTGGTGGTGCTTTTTACTGTGACAACAGCCCGAGGTACCATCATAAAAACTAGACTGTATTTTGGTGAACATTAAAAAAAATGTCTTCCATACTCAGTGTTGCCAGATCAGTATGGGTACCAGCAGGATGAGAACACACTTGGGCCTAATTTTGATGGCATGAACCAGGCTCCTTATCAGGAATCTGCTGGAGATGAGGATTTCCAAACACTGGTCAGAGCTGGTGGTCCATATTCAGGAACTTATGCTCAAGAAAGTCTTTTAGGTCTGCACCATTTCATCAGAGTATATTTTATAGCTGTGGTGATGGTGATAAAAATAGTTCTGTTTTTTTTGCAGAGGATCAAGACATAGTTGGCTACATGTCCATGCCTAGTCAGATGGAGGATATTCCTATTGTGGCAGCTGGACATGACATTGGTGAACACAACAGGATGCTGCATGAACCTGCTGAAACCAGTCACTTGGAGATGGACCCTGATGATGATGCTGAAGCAGTTGCTTTGCAGCATGACCAGCTGGTGGATAAATCTATCCATGGACTGTCTGGCATCAATGTAAACCATGATGAAGCCATCCACAGGCATGTTCACCCTGATGATGATTCAAGGATCCAATCTGATTTAATGAATGTGAGACTGATATCATTTGGTGTCTTTTACTTTAAAAGTAACCCCCTCAAACTATTATCAACTTCATTTTTATGGTTGAAGGGGCAAAAATTTCAGCAAGACCAGAAAGGGTTTGAGCACAAACTTGACCAGCTGACTTGGAAGATCAATTCAGAGAAAGAGGCAAAGCATTATGGGGAATCTCAGTTTGAGTTGTCCTCTGCACAACCAGGAGACAGAAACCATGTTGCAGAGGGAATGCCATTTGAGGTTCTTCTGAAAGGAGGAAGTTACTATGACTCCATTGGCAGACATTCCTACATCACATCCAGCACAGCTATCACCCTGGGGGCTCTGATTGGAATCATCTTCTTGCTTTGTGGTTTCTTGCTCGCCATTGTCTACTGCAAGTGAGTGATAGTGCAGTATTACTACTATATGCGTATGTTTCCACTCAGCCAAAACAATGAGTGAATAATTTCAATTACAAAGCATGAGAAATTTTACTTGTATTCCCTTCATTTAATTTATTCATCTTCCCCATTTTCATGAAGAGGAATTATTAAGTGGCATTATAATTTCCTGTACTTGTACATACTGATGAGGTGATGTTTTTGAACTAAAATAATCCAGATGGGGCATATATGCTGGAAGAAAATGCCAAATACAGATGAACCTTGACAGGTTGAACTTCCTAAGTAAAATCATCCCCAAGTTTAATTTTTTTGCTGGTCCCTAGGAATTTGACTTACAGAGGTTCAACTTTATTATTTATTTTCCAGAAATAAGTAATCAAGTCCCAGGAGAAATACAATAGCAGAAATAAAGCTTTAAACATCAACACAGGTGCGGTATACCTTGCCATTTTATCCCAATCCATTGCTGGACTAGGGTCAAATTGTGAAGCTGTCAAATTGCAAGACAACATCAAATGGCATGTTTTCTACATGGCTTTTGATGTTTCATGTCTCTCTGCAGTTTTAATTGAGAGTCAACCTCCCAGAAAAGTTGATCATGGAATTGCGGGATGGTCAAATTGCAAGAAGTACCGCCTGTATATTTATTCAGTAGCAGCATTAATAAACTTTTTTTCAGTTATCTTCTTTTGTTCCACTTGAAATTACAAGAAGTTAATTATTAGAAGGGAGGAAATCCAAATCAATATTTTCTCACAGCGATTCCAAAAGGTGCTGGAAAATCCAGATAAAAAATTTCAAGAACATTTGTTGATTTTTTTCTGACAGAAATTCAGTTTTGGTGTAACATATGTTAGTCATAATTTGCTGAGCAACTATCATCTTTTGTAATAATGGTCCAGTGTGAGTTTGTGGCAGAACGTTTGGTTAGGAAAAATTAATCCCTGATTTTAGAAATTATCTTTTTACCACGTTTTTATGAACTCACTTTTCTTGTCTGTCTGTCTGTCTGTTTGTCCGACAGCTGGTGGATAAATCTATCCATGGACTGTCTGGCATCAATGTAAACCATGATGAAGCCATCCACAGGCATGTTCACCCTGATGATGATTCAAGGATCCAATCTGATTTAATGAATGTGAGACTGACATTTTGGTGTCTTTTACTTTCAAAGTAACCCCCCTCAAACTATTATCAACTTCAATTTTATGGTTGAAGGGGCAAAAGTTTCAGCAAGACCAGAAAGGGTTTGAGCACAAACTTGACCAGCTGACTTGGAAGATCAATTCAGAGAAAGAGGCAAAGCATTATGGGGAATCTCAGTTTGAGTTGTCCTCTGCGCAACCAGGAGACAGAAACCATGTTGCAGAGGGAATGCCATTTGAGGTTCTCCTGAAAGGAGGAAGTTACTATGACTCCATTGGCCGACATTCCTACATCACATCCAGCACAGCTATCACCCTGGGGGCTCTGATTGGAATAATCTTCTTGCTTTGTGGTTTCTTGCTCGCCATTGTCTACTGCAAGTGAGTGATAGTGCAGTATTACTACTATATGCGTATGTTTCCACTTATCCAGAACAATGAGTGAAACATTTCAATGACAAAGCATGATAAAATTTATTTTTATGGCCTTTATTTAATTTATTCAACTTCCCCATTATTCATGAAGAATTGTCAAGTGGCATTATTATAGTATATACTGAGGAGGTGATGCTTTTGAACTAAAGTAATCCAGATGAGGCATATGCTCAAAGAAAATACCAAATACAGGTGAACCTACTTGATGAGTTTAACCTCCCTAAGTAAAAACATCCCTGAGTCAAAATTGTTTCCTGGTCATTATAGAAATTTGACCTACAGAGGTTCAACTATTATTTCTTTAAAATAAATTAATAATCAAGTCCCGGGAGAAATACAGTCGCAGAAATAAAGCTTTAAACATCAACACAGGTGGTACTTTGCAATTTGACCCTAATCCATTGCTGGACTAGGGTAAAATTGTGAAGCAGTCAAATTGCAAGACAACATCAAATGGCATGTTTTCTACATGTCATTTGATGTTTCATGTCTCTCTACACATTGAATTGAGAGTCAACCTCCCAGCAAATTTTACCATTGAATTGCAGGATGGTCAAATTGCAAGCAGTAGCACCTGTATATTTATACAGTAGCAACAATAATAAATGTTGTTTTCAGTTGACTCTTCTTTTGTTCCACTTAAAATTATAAGAAGTTACAAAATTAAGTTCCTGTGCGTCCTTCTGCCTTTATGGAAGGGAGCAAATCCAAATCAGTATTTGCTCACAGCAATTCCAAAAGGTGCTGGAAAATCCAGATAAAAAAATTCAAGAACATTTGTTGATTTTTTTTCTGAGAAAAATGCAGTTTTGGTGTAACATGTGTTAGTAATATTTTGCTGAGCAACAATCATTTTTTGTAATAATGGTCCAGTGTGAGTTTGTGGCAGAACATTTGGTTAGGAAAAATTAATCCCTGATTTTAGAAATTATATCTTTGTATAGTCAACTTGCTGCAATAATGTTTCATACACAAAACTTTTTCAAGAATAACTGTGCATGGAATCTTGTTGTGACAAGATTAAACCCTGTATAACTGCTGGATGTTATTCAGGGTTCACATCAGCAGTCAGTACATATTTCTCTCAAAATTTAAATTCACACTAAACAATAACAACGAAAAAACGCTGTACATAGAACCGGATGGAGCTTAACTGACATGCTGTGCGAAAGCGAGATGGCGCGTGGGATAAAAATTCAGGAAGTCGAAGCCATAGAACCGGAAATGGTTCCTTGCTGCGAGTGTCCGGAAGACAGGCAAATTCGCCCCAGGGGCTGGCGCAACAAAAAGAGGGGTGCCAGGAAGCCACAAAGGCCCAAACCCAGTAAACGGGCAGCAGGGGACAGTGAGGGAGAGGCCATGACAGCTGATGACGTTCTCACGCCAGGCAGCGAATACTAAATAAACCGGCTCTTCGACTCCTGTTATTCCAGCTCTTACATAGTTTTATTACTGTTTATATATATAGTTCTTTATTATTCACTTAATAAATTTACAGTTATTATTATATGCCAGAATTTGCAGGCGTTTGCGGTTTTCCTCTCTTTGAGACCCTCTGATGCTCAGGCTGAATGTGACAATAACCTTTGCTCAACAAGTTTTGTACAGAGGCTGAAAAGTAATTTTAAATGTTCAAATAAGTGACTTGAAGCTCAAAGAGAAGAAACCTGCAGCTTATTTACAAGATGAAGCCCTGCATGAATGAGAGTTAAATTTTTGTGTCAGAAGTTGTTGCAATGATGTTATTGTCACATTTTGATGATTTTTGGGGGGTCTGATTGATTTGCACAGGGGTTGGGATGCAGTGCTGGACTTTTTCTTGTGCTTGCTGGGGTTCTCGTGTTTGTTGCCCATCCCATTGCCACCAGATGCTGTGGCATGTGGCAACAAGGGCAATTGCTGCAAGTGCTCAAACCCTGTCAAGTACCCCAAATTGTTGCAGGAGAAGAAAGCATTCACCAAGCCTTATAAACGACCAGAATAATTGTCAAATTATTATGTTCTCCCCCAGGTTCTCTCCGTTATTCTTTAATTACTCACTTTATTGTATTCTATTGAAAATCTGTGCGAGGAAATGCTTATAGCGAACAGGAAAAATAAAAATAAAAACTAATGAATAATTGCCATTGACAATGTTGGTTGGCTAATTTTTGTAAACAAAGTAGCATTTGTCTGAGTTTTAAAATTTTCAAATCAATCAAATATCAGTAGAATTCACGCACATTATGCCGTATGCGGATTAAATCGTATATACGCAAAATTGTAAAGACATTTTTAAAATTTTAAATGAGCAAAAGACTTTCCTCTTGATCTTTTTCTGACAATTACAAAGTAAGAACTGATGGTTGAACCATCAAAAATATATTTTACCTAATCACCTCATTTGTTCAGAAGATATCAAAAAATTGAAAATATGTCAGAAGATATCAAAAGGTTGAAGTTTTCTGTCAATTTTGGCGAAGTTTGCATATGTTGAGACCTTTTTCAGGTGTTGGGGAAAATCTTGTGAGTTTAAGATTATAAGTTGAATTTTCTGCCTAAGTTGAATTTTCTGCCTAAGTTGAATTGTCTGCCTATCAGGGTGTCCATATTTTGGACCCCCATAATTTGAGTTTGGTGCTAAATGTTAGCTACATAAAAGTTGACATTGATTGTATCACTAATTATATAGCTTTATCTGTCCATTATTTCTGAGTACCATGTTTGCAAGACTATCAAAAATAAGTACATGTAAATATGACCATCAGTTTACAGCTATCTGACTATCAGTCGTGTATGTATCTATCAGTAGTGTATTTATCTATCTATCAGTAGTGTATGTATCTATCTGACTTATCAGTAGTGTATGTATCTATATGTGTGTATCTATCATTTATGTATCTGAATATCACTAAACACAAGTAATACTATTTTGTGAAATTTGGTCAAGACAGATTTCCTTGGATTTACTTGGGTCAACAAATCACAAGAAATAGCGCTGTATTGCCACAACCATGTGACCCATTTTATTGATCTGCATTTTTTTTTTACAGATAATTACAACATTTTGTACATTATATGCGTGATGAGGATATTTTTTCCAATCTGCGCAGCGTGCAAGAGAGCTCATTTCTGGCAGCAAGGGGTGGTAGTTGTAGGGCAACATGGAGTGGTGGTGGTTGGACAACATGGAGTTGTGGTGGGAGGACAGCATGGATCTGGTGAGGGGCAGCAGCATTCGTCTCCACCTTTGGTCGTACCTATGGGAAGCAAAATTTTTGAGAAGGAATGTTGAATATATATTCATATATATATATTTTTTTGAATGAATGAATGAACAGAAAACTTTATTTGCCGCTTTTCAGCGTTCACAAGGCACAACCAAAACTCCCGCAGCCAAACCCCCTCCCTTAATTAAAATTTTTTTTTAATTGGAAAATATTTTGGACTATACATGATCATGCAGCACATGTTCAACAAATTGAAATTCCATTAATCAGATTCCTCCAATGCATTTCAGGCAGGACTGTTATTCCTTTATCCTCCTTTGGCAAAATTTATCTGAAATTGAAACTTTAAAAATAAAAATTAGAAAGCTTGAAATTTCACAATTGGATTTTTAGGGCACACCATCACATATCATTAAAAGATGAAAATGCATGCATCCCGTGTAAGGTATTCGAGTTGGAATTTTTTTACTGATCTTGGCTTCTCAGCCTTTGGAGTTTTAAAGATTTATAGTATTGAGGGTCAAATAAAATTTAATTTTTAATTATAAACATTTTTTAAATACATACTAATTTTAAAGATAAAATTGGACATAAAACTGGGGCACAGCAGAAATAAAGGCAAAAAACGGTATTGGATAATAATATAACGGTATTAATATATCCAGACTAGAATATGTACAGTATATGCATTTCTCCTTTTTTCCACAATTTTGAAGAAGTATATATACAGTATACTGTATCATTTGAAACGCGGTGAAATGCTTTGTGCCAGTTCTGTATACACTGCTGCATATCTAAATACTTGCTTTCGTCGTCGAGGTCTCCGTCATCATCATCCTCCATCATATCAGTTGTCGTCATCATCATCATCATGTCAGACATCATCATTTCAGAAGCGATCATGTCTGACATTTCATCAGGCCCCGCCATCATCATATCAAATTCGTCTTTTCCAAGTTCGCCGCCCATCATCGACATCCCAATATTAGTCGTGTAGCCAGTGGTAGTCAAGGGATCAACTGATGACANGTTTGTTGCCCATCCCATTGCCACCAGATGCTGTGGCATGTGGCAACAAGGGCAATTGCTGCAAGTGCTCAAACCCTGTCAAGTACCCCAAATTGTTGCAGGAGAAGAAAGCATTCACCAAGCCTTACAAACGACCAGAATAATTGTCAAATTATTATGTTCTCCCCCAGGTTCTCTCCGTTATTCTTTAATTACTCACTTTATTGTATTCAATTGAAAATCTGTGCGAGGAAATGCTTATAGCAAACAGGAAAAATAAAAATAAAAACTAATGAATAATTGCCATTGACAATGTTGGTTGGCTAATTTTTGTAAACAAAGTAGCATTTGTCTGAGTTTTAAAAATTTCAAATCAATCAAATATCAGTAGAATTCACGCACATTATGCCGTATGCGGATTAAATCGTATCTACGCAAAATTATAAAGACATTTTTAAAATTTTAAATGAGCATACTACTTTCCTCTTGAACTTTTTCTGACAGTTACAAAGTAGGAACAAGTTGAACAATCAAAAGTATATTTTAACAAATGACCTCATTTGTTAAAATGAGGTTACAAAAGGTTGAAGTTTTCTGGTAATTTTGCCAGAATGAAGTTTGCATATTTTGAGACATTTTTCAGGTTTTGGGGAAAATCTTTTGAGCTAAAGATTATTGTCTGCCTATCAGGATGTTCATATTTTTGGGGCCACATATACTTGAAGTTTGGTGCTGGATGTTGGCTACATACAAGTTGACATTGATTTTATCACTAATTATATAGCTTTATCTGTCCATTATTTCTGAGTACCATGTATGTATAAGACTATCAAAAATAAGATTCATGTATATATGACTTATCAGTTTACAGTATCTATCTGACTATCAGTAGTTTATGTATCTATCTGTGTATGTATCTGAATATCACTATACACAAGTAGGACTATTTTGTGAAATTTGGTCAAGACAGATTTCCTTGGATGTACTTGGGTCAACAAATCACAAGAAATAGCGCTGTATTGCCACAAACATGTGACCCATTTTATAGATCTGCATTTTTTTTTACAGATAATTACAACATTTTGTACATTATATGCGTGATGAGGATATTTTTTCCAATCTGCGCAGCATGCAAGAGAGCTCATTTCTGGCAGCAAGGGGTAGTAGTTGTAGGGCAACATGGAGTGGTGGTGGTTGGACAACATGGAGTTGTGGTGGGAGGACAGCATGGATCTGGTGAGGGGCAGCAGCATTCGTCTCCACCTTTGGTCGTACCTATGTGAAGCAAAATTTTATTTTTGTGAGAAGGAATCTTAATATATATTTATATATATTTTTAAATAAATTGGAAAATATTTTGTACTATACATGATCATGCAGTTCATGTTCAACAAATTGAAATTCCATTAATCAGATTCCTCCAATGCATTTCAGGCAGGACTGTTATTCCTTTATCCTCCTTTGGCACAATTTATTTGAAATTGAAACTTTAAAAATAAAAATTAGAAAGCTTGAAATTTCACAATTGGATTTTTAGGGCACACCATCACATATCATTAAAAGATGAAAATGCATGCATCCCGTGTAAGGTATTCGAGTTGGAATTTTTTTTACTGATCTTGGCTTCTCAGCCTTTGGAGTTTTAAAGATTTATAGTATTGAGGTTCAAATAAAATTTAATTTTTAATTATAAACATTTTTAAATACATACTAATTTTAAAGATAAAATTGAACATAAAACTGGGGCCCAGCAGAAATTAAGGCAAAAAACGGTATTGGATAATAATAAAACGGTATTAATATATCCAGACTAGAATATGTACAGTATATGCATTTCTCCTTTTTTCCACAATTTTGAAGAAGTATATATACAGTATACTGTATCATTTGAAACGCGGTCCAAAATGCTTTGTGCCAGTTCTGTATACAATGCTGCATATCTAAATACTTGCTTTCGTCGTCGAGGTCTTCGTCATCATCATCCTCCATCATATCAGTTGTCGTCATCATCATCATCATGTCAGACATCATCATTTCAGAAGCGATCATGTCTGACATTTCATCAGGCCCCGCCATCATCATATCAAATTCGTCTTTTCCAAGTTCGCCGCCCATCATCGACATCCCAATATTAGTCGTGTAGCCAGTGGTAGTCAAGGGATCAACTGATGACAAATCATCATGGAGTA